GTGGGTCACGCCGGCCGCGCCGCCGCTCCCCGCGCTCGCCCGGCTCGCCGCGCCCTCCGCCGCCGCCCGCTCCGACCCGCCCCCGCGCCCCGTGCGCGCTCGGACCCGGCGTGGCGGCGGAGGCGGGGCCACCCCCGCCCCGCCCCCCTTAACCCTCGCCGGGCCGCGGCCCCCCCGGAGGGCGGATCTCGAAGGAGAGGGGGCGGCTGCGCGGGTCGGGAGGGGCCCGCCGCCGGGGCGGCTGTGCCCCTCGGCCTCTCGCCGTGTGAGCGCCCTTCGGAGCCCTGCCCTTTCCCCTCCCCTGCCAGGCTTTTTCCGGGCTTTCCAGTGGTCCGCGGCGGGCTGGGGTCTCGAGTCGTGGCACCCGGGGGCAGCTTCGCGACTCTCCTTGGCCACACCTGGCAAGGATGCCGTGCCTCCAGATGGTGGGGAGCAGCGGCCTGGAGCGAGCGCGCGCAGCTCCACGCCGCCCCATCCCACACCCGCGGTGGGGACCGGCAAAGAAAGGGTACCATCTGTCGTGACCTGGAGGGGGTGAGGACGGAAACTCCTCCGCCCTCAGGGCTTCTGCTCATTTAGAAGTGGACAGCGCCGACCTGGGAGGGGCGCCAGAAAGATGAGACTTCCTCTGCTGAAAACTATTCACTCCGCACTAAAGAGGCAGCTACAGGGTGGACCACTCTCGGCTCTAATTAATCCTTCCCCCGCCTCCCCGCAGATATGGCCCTGGGGCAGCCCTCCGGATCGCCCGGGAAGAGGGCCAAGGCTGGACAAAGGGAACAGCCCCGCCACAAGCCCACCTCGTGTAGAGGGTGGGCATCACTACCCGGGGGAGGAGGGACACATACCTTCCCCCACTCCGGTGTCCAGGAGGTCTGAGACCGTAGGCCTTCCATCCCCTCCAGCCTAACCGTCCCGTGCTCAAGACACCTCTCCAGGGCCGGGGGACACGCAGCCAGGACACGTAGCACACCATGTGCAGGGAGCACACCTCTGAGCCCTGGGCAGGGAGGCGAGGAGGGGTCCCTGGCAACTGTCCTGTGGACTGTAGTTTCCCGGCAGCCACTTCCAGGTGCTGTTCTCATCTGGGGGAGAGAGAGGAGGGACTAGGTGGGCTGCAACACTCACTGAGTCCTTGGTCCCCATACACCCATCCAAGGAGCACCCCACCTCCACCCCCGCCTCACTATTTCCTGGTCATCCCCCCAAATTCCAGGTCAGCACCAGATCGCAAGCCCTCTACCAGAGCCTGAAGCCAAGGGTCAGCGGCCCCCTACCCAGACCCAGCACACCGGCCAGAAAACCCTGCCCCCAACACCAGGCCTCTCCAGCTCCCTGAGACCCCAAGCAGGGTCTCCCCAGGCTGCTGCACCTAGTGGGGGAGGCCTGGGGGCGAAGTTTTGGAGAGAGGCACCCCTGGCCCTGCCCCTGGCTTCTACCCCCTCCCCAGGCAGGGAGGGCCCTGGGCTCAGACTCCTGCCCAGCTTTGTGGGGGACTCAGGGGGCAGAAAGTGACTGTGATCCAGGGACCCCGCGTCCTCACCCCGAGCTCCCTGGGGCCTCGACCAGCTTTCTCACACCGGTTTCCCGGGGAAGCTGAGGTCGCTGTGGCCGCTCTGCCCGAGGGGTAGGGATGGGACAGTGGTCAGAGGGTGCCATGCTCTACGGTGGCCCAGGTCTCCACTGCCAGGTCTTCTGGGCCAGAGAGCAGCCAGGTGACCATTCCACCTGCCCACTCCAGAGAGGAGCTGGGCAGAAACGGGACTGCTCAGAGCTTTTGCAGCTGGTGGGGGGTAGGGGAGAGAATCCAATTAGATCCAGCCTGAGGCCTCCCTGCAGAGCCTGATACCCATGCCCTTAGCCTCTTCTGGGGCTGGGGGCTCACCAGGCTGAGCTCTTCCTGGTCTGGCAGCTCCTGGCTAGGTGGAAGGGCCAGGCATGGGGTTGCCAGCTTTGCTGCTCCCCCACCTGGGCATTTTCTCTGTGCAGGGCATCTTTGGGCAAAGAGCAGGGGAGGTGGGGGGGAGGGCTGTGCCCTACGTGTCCCTGTGCAGGATCTGCTGAGCTGCCGCAGGATTGGGGAGGGCAGATGTGAGAAAGCTCTGCTTCCCAGCTGAGGGTTCTGGGCTGGTGAAGCAAACTGTCCCCAGACGGGGGACCCCCACCCTTCACCCCACATCAGGCCCCATACCCACCTCTGCAGCTGCCCCTGCCAGTGGCCAGCGGGCTCGCCGTCTGTTGTCCTCCGAAGGCCCAGTACCAGGGCTTAGCTCTGTGGAGGGGCTGGAGCTCTCTCTGCCACCAGCCACAGCCTCTGAGGAAGGTGGATGGATCCTGGGCCCCTTCCCCTGGCCCCATAGAGACAGCCCATCTCAGATCCTGGACCTACCAGCCCTGAGATCCCCCAGCCAGAGCCCCCGACAGCTCCCTGCCCAGAAGTAGGAGCTAATGGGGTTTGCAGGAGCATCTGGGGCTGCTGTCGTTCCTGCCCCATTAGGGAAGGTGAGGGGGAAGTCAAGGTCAGTGCCCACCTTCCCCAGGGAGCCGACCGTGGCACGAGTGGCCTCCCTCCCACCGGAAAGGGCACGTGGGCAAGACCTCAAAGACCAGATGGCCCACCTTTAAGCTGCTGCCCACCCACCAGGGTAGCTCCCTCACTGCGCAGAGACCCTCCTTCTGGCTGGAGCCAGCTTCCTAGGCAATTGCACTGGAAACCAGAGGATGGAGCCCCGGCTGTGCAGACATGGAAGCCAGTGCTGGGCACAGCCAGGCTGGAGTGAAGACAGGGGAGGGGCAGCAGACAGAGAGGGACCAACACGTGAGCTGAAGGCAAACCCAATGCCCCCACACCCCACATCACGTCGCGGGCGGGTGGCACCTTCCTGCCCCACGCTTGTCCTGACTCCCAGTGCTAGCGCCTCCATTTCCCTTTGGGGGCCTCTATTCTCTGCTCTCAGGCTGTGGGGCTTTGGGTGGGCTCACCCACCTCGCCCAGGGGCTGCTGGAGCACCCAGGCCTGGCCATTCAGACCGTCCCCTTGGCCTCAAGGTCTTTGCCGAAGCTTACGGGAAAGTGTGGTTGCTCTACTGGCAGAAGTAGACGTCCAGCTGCTGATCGAAAGGTATCTCAGGGGAAGAGCTGGTCTGAGAATGAAGCCATCCCCTGAGGGAGGCAAGAAACCTGCCAGAGGGACTTCCCTGGTGGTGCTGTGGTTAAGAATCCGCCTTCCAATGCAGGGCACACGGATTCGATCCCTGGTCGGGAAACTAAGATCCCACGTGCCACGGGGCAACTAAGCCTGCACACCGCAACTACTAAGCCTGCGAGCCACAACTAGAGAGAAGCCGACGCGCCGCAATGAAAGATCCTGCATGCCGCAACTAAGACCCAACGCAGCCAAATAAATAAATAAATACAAAAAATTTTTTTAAAAAAGGAAATAAAGAAACCTGCCAGAGTATTTGCACCAAGTGTCTGGATCCAACATTGCCTGAAGCAAGCCCACCCCTGGACTTCAAAGGCACAGGGGCCAGGAAAGCCCCTCTGTGCAGACACTGGAACACCAGCTTTCTGACCATTGCAACTCAGAGTCCCACCTAGCGCGTGGCCTGCCGGCCCCGCTGACCTTGCCAACTCCACCTTCCACCCCTCCACCCTGACCCCTTCCCTTTCCTAGAACCCCCAGGTCACTCCCTCTGCCTGACATCCGTCCCTGAAGACCTGAGCATCTTCCCCCAGCCCCACCCGCCCCCCACTCTGGCTGGGGTCCAGAGGCCCACCCCCTTCCCCAGCTGTGGACTGTGGACACAGACTGAACCCCAGGGCTCAGCTTCCTGCAAGGGGCCAGCAAGGTGAGGCAGAGACAAAAAGGAAGGAGAAACCATTTCTGTGCAACGAAAACGTGGTTCCCCGGGTCTCCTGTTGGGTGAGCAAGCGGGCACTCGACGTTGGGAGGTCCAGCTGGGGCTGGCCCTGAGCATGGAGTAGGCAAGGAGGGGAGAGGCCTCCATCCAGCTCCCGCAGGCCCGGCTAGGACACACTTCCCTGTCTGAAGGGCCACTTTCCGGTGGTCACCAGCTGTGTGGTTATTTCCTGGACGTTTTCTTTAAATCCCTTTACAGGAAACATCATATCACAACCACAAATAAAAGAAAAGTCAATGTCAGACGGTGTTGGCTTCTGGGCTTCTTGCTTGGAGGCTTCAGACTGACTGTCAAAGTGTGTCTGCAGAAGCCTCCATGGCCTTCACCCTCTCCAAACCCTGCCTGCCGCCCGAGCCCAGCAGTCTGCTGGCCGCCCCCGGCATCCCTGTAGTCCCCCCCGACTCGGGGAGGGGGCGTACAGGTGACTTCACCCAGGTGGCACCTCACTGGTGGGGGTCCGGGTTCCAGGACCTGTGGGAAATGGTTCCGCCCAGCAGGGGAGGTTGGACCAGCCTGAAGCGACAACAGCAACTTCCAGGGAACCCCCTGCCTCCAGACAAGGTGATCCCCCCCCAGCCCATCCGGGCTGGGAGAAAGAAGCTGGTGTTGGGCCGCTCGGACCCTGAGCACG